ATGATTTACTTAGTAAAAAAAAAGTTTTAGATAGAGCTGCTCCATATTTAGGTTTATAATAAAATTTATATATAAAAAAAATTTTTGTTCAGTTAACTGGAAAATTGCCTATTAAGCTAATTGATTCTATATATTAAAGAAAAATATTCTTCTAATTAAAATATTCCTAGTTTTACAAAACTAAATTAGCGATTGTCTTAATAAAATTTTAAGAAAATAACCTTTAGAACTATAACTCTTTAAATTTTATCTGTTTATAAATATCTTCAATTTTCTTAAAATTTTATTAAGCTAATCGATTTTGCATATTAAATAAAAAATATTCTTCTAATCAAAATAGTTCTAGTTATATAAAACTAAATTAGTGATTGTCTTAATAAATTTTAAGAAAATAGCCTCTAGAACTATAGCTCTTTAAATTTTAACTATTTATAAATATTTCTGATTTTTACAAAATTTTATTAAGCTAATTGATTTATATATTAAATAAAAATATTCTTCTAATCAAAATAGCTCTAGTTTCATAAAACTAAATTAGCAATTGTCATGATAAAATTTTGAGAAAACAGCCTCTAGAACTATAACTTTTTAATTTTGGCTATTTATTAAAATTTTCAATTTTTTTAAAATTTTATTAAGCTAATTGATTTTATATATTAAATAAAAAATGGTTTTCTAAAAGTGTGGCAACTTAGTGAAGTTGGTAAGTTGTCGCACCCCCAAGCAGTAGGACAAGAGTTCAAATCTTACTGGTAACGAAATTCGAATTTACAGAAATGTATTAGAAAAACTGTATCCTATTGGATTTTAAAACCTGTAATGGGGTTGCACCAGTTTGTATTGGGAGGTAGTGGAATATTTAGTGTGATATATGAGTTACACAAAACCCAAGTGAAGCTACTGAATAAATTCAGTAGATTGACAAGATATGGAAGCCCGCTTGGCAAGTCCCGAATAGAGAGGTAGCACAGATCTTTAATGGTACTATATAAAGGATTATCATTCAGAAGCAACAAGAACCAAACGGGACTGAAGTGTTTGGCAAAAACACTCTGTCGGAAGAGATATTAGAGGAAAAGGACCCAATCGTAGGGACCAGAGGCAGGTCACAGCCTCTCTGGGCTATCTGAATTGGTAGTTTGGGATGATAGGAGTACGGTTAATAGTCCATAAAGTAGGTACTGAAGTTTGAGTGAACTTTGCAAGAGCACAGAGTAGGTAATGGTAGTGGTTTCGGCTCGCAAGTACTTGGTTTCGGCCTAGGCGTAAGTTACTGAAAATCTAGGTGATACATGTGTAAGATATGGACCACTCTAGTAGGTTTATTACAAGGTCAAAGAACTCCCCTATATGGGGTATTATTTATTAAAACAGCCCTTTTTTACATATATTTTATTTTGAGATAATTGAGTTTAATCATTTGTTTTGATTTTCGGACAGATCCGGGATTAATTAGATTTCATGATTTTGATTGATTAAATATAACAGGTGATTATCGGGTTATCTCGTGATGTGTTGGCCTTACGCAGCCACATGTAATTTTTCTTTTACAATTATCTTGATTTTTTATTATGCAAATCGACTTTCATTTATAATTGAAAAATATCGATCATGTCAAAATTTATATAAATCTAATGAAAACTCATTTTTCAAAAAATTGCAAAAAAGGGCTGTTTTAATAGATAACACCCTATATGCTACTGTATACCAACCTAACAGTTATTTAAAGGAAGACTTTTTTTCCTTACTCCAACAGACAAGATAACTAGATAATTAGAGTAGATAATAAATAGAAATTATAAATAATACTCTTTAGAATATTGTTCTTTAAATATTTCTATAATATTTTCTTTGTTCTAATAACTTTGTAATGTCTCTAAAACAAGTAAATAAATCCTTCTGCTTAAACCTTCTCTCTTGCTCTTTTTAAACACTTCTTTTAAAAATACCACTATAATAATACTTTCAAATGCTTCATTACCTTTTCACAGATCTTTACAGATGATCATTCAAGATCTTTTGTTCATTTAGATTATTATATTTTTAATAATAATATATATTATGAAATAGCAAAAGAAATAAAAATAAAATTAGAAAACTACTGGCTTTTCTATCACAATCTTTTATAATTTTTGCATTTTTCGATTTATCAACTAAATTCAAAACATTTAATGAAATTGATCACCAGTTAATTATAAGTCAGTTGACAGTTTATATTCAATATATTATATTAATAAGACAATCATATTATCTCAACAAGAAAGTTCATTAGACAATTTCTGTAAACTAATTTAATTAAATAAAAATAAAAATAAAATAAAGAATTTAATAAAAGATTTAACAAAAGAATTAACCATCTATATCGCATTATCTCCAGAGCCAAATATAAATCTGCTAGTATAGTAAAAAAATAATTCTTTCTAATTTTTAACCATAGCTTCTATTACAGTAGATTACTATGCACTTACAAATGTTCCATATGAACATGCTTTTTCCATCATGAAACATACTATTAATCTTATACAAAATTGTCTTTTAAAACAAACAACTAGAGCTTTACTGTGTTTAAAGAATTAGATGAAGACTGAAATTTTAAAATAGATAAAAATGTAAAAAAAATTAATATTATTATATGCAACATTACATATATATATTTTTACTAAATAAAATTATTATGGTTATCATTATTATTATCATTCTACATAGTATTTTTAAATTTTATGATCCTGTGAAATCTAATATTATATATGACTACAGAACTTAGTACCGAGTCTGACTTGAAACTAAATCTAAATTAAAACTCAACTCTATAAAGTCAAGTCAAACCAGATCAGACTTTTAACATCTCTATGTATAGATAATCATTTAAATTATCTACTATCTTACTTTTAGTATAATTTTTGAGATATAATTGCAGATAAATTTATCTGCAAAATGAAAAAGATAAACCTGAATTCTAATACTTGAAAATAAGCTACCCCTTTGTTTAACTTTAAATTATCATAAAAATTATAGATCCCAAAAATAAGCTACCCCTTATATTTTTATTAAATATTTCCCAAAAATTGGTAGCTTATTTTCAGTTACATACAGTAATAGTTGAAATAGCTAGCAACAATAGCCAGCAAAAATAACAAAAATAGAAAATTAGCAATCATAACAATATAGTAAACAATGGTTATTTACTGTGCCACTGCCTTTTGTTTAAAGTATCTTTATTAGTATTTAATCGTCTCAACAATTGATATAAATTTCAATATGATGCATTTAATATACCTCATTTCAGCTAGTGATTTGAACCGAGAAAAATTTCCTTAATCGGTTAACCAAACCGAATTGTTTCATTCAACCAATTGCCAACCAGTTAAGATTAACTATCTACTACCATCGGAAATTCTCGGTGCTTTACTCAAATTTTTGTCTTGTCTTTATGTTCATTCATTTTTTTTTCGAAACTTTTTGGACTCTTTACTCTCTCCTTACGTCATTTTCATATTACAGTATATCGATTCCGCCAACCGATTACCCAATTCTCAACCGGTTGTATTGGGTCAACCGATTAAGAATTTCCTCAACCGGTTAACCGAAATTTATTCAGTTTGGTCGATTAACCAATTATAGCCCAACCGATTCAAATCACTAGTTTCAGCCCTGCTTGGAATCCGGCTGATATATCTAAGATTCAAAAGTTTCTAATTGGGAATGTCTTATACTTATTGCATGGATAGCGAATTTGCATCTTAGCATAAGTAGCGCTATTTTAGATGCTATGAATAGCTGGACACCCTCTACTTAAGGACCAAATCCCGATTAAGGTCCTTATTTATGGGATCCGGACAGAAAGGATCGGATTCTTAATAGTTCAAATATTTGCTATATAAAAATTCATTGTCTCGTGCTTTAACTGTAATAAAAAATTACTAAAGCAATTTAGTAATAAATTTTATTAAGAATTTTGTAACACTGCAGGTGTTAACTTCAAGCATGACATCAATACTACGGAAAATAAAGATAAATATTAATTATTGTGGATTTTGTAGAAATTCTTAACACTATTTAATGAACGTTCATTTTATTCGCGTTGATTAGTCGAACATAAAGGTTGTTTGTATTTGAACTTATGGATCGCACGAATAACGTGCAGCGAATATAGTACAAGTGTTGTGAGTGTGAGGTATAGCTATTTAATGATCGACCACTTATCTACCGATCATACACAACCCAATTTTTTATGATCGGTCACAATCGCACAAACAAAATGATCGGTCATCACCAATTGATCATCATATCTACTGCAATCGAGCAGCTTTAAACTTAGAGACCTTCTTGGGTCTCTCAATTGATTGCGGTAATTGACTTTCATCCTGTGAATTAAAATACACAATATCAATAAAGTAATAGAATTATTGACATTTTGCAATTAACTTACTGAAGAGAGGCCTCCTTGTTGTGTGATAAAATTAATTCGTTTTTGGTGATATTCTGACGCGATCTAAAACATGATTTAATTATGTTAACTGAACATTTAAACACGAAACAAAATACGTCGTGAAGTTGAAACTCAGACCTGTTTTTTCCATATCTCGTCTTCTAAAGCTTCAGCGTCATATTCCTCCGGCAACGTCACATTTTCTATGACTGCAGATTTTACTGCAACATTTGTTTGCTCAATTTGTCTCGCTTTCGGAGAAGCGTCAGAATCAAATGAGGAAAGCGAGTCCGAAGCTCTCAATTCTTCCTCTTCTTCAACAAGTAATTTATTCCAAAAACTAGTATCATCGGATTTGGCTATATATATATGTATATATATATATATATATTTGTGAAATTGCCAAAATATTGTTAATTAATAAGTATTATATAATGGCAGCGTGTAAAGCTACCTTTTGATTGACCAATTTGTTTCAGATTTGGTTCTAAATCATCCTTTTCGTCTTTTGTTATTCGACTTTGCAGTTCATTCTCTTCAGTTTCTTGTATTTCTACAATAGGTAATCCTTCTTCATTTATCTAAGTCATTAGAATGGACGCGTATAAGTTGTATTATTCCTCAAAAAACTTGTTTTAGTAAAATACCTCTTTTTCTATGTTTGCAAATCTTAATGCATCCGACGTTAAACCGATCTTCATTTTTTGGTTTTCAAGTTGAGTTTCCAGATCATTTATGGTTTTCCTCACCACTAAATTCAAAATATAACCTAATTATTATAGATTGCTAACTACAGAGTACTCCAGATTATCTATCTATTGTTTCAAAATATGTGCTGCACGTATTTATGATAAGCAGTCGCTATTTTATATTTATACCTAGAGCACTGAACTTTTTCGCAAAAAAGACAAAAAAAAAAAAAGGCATACTTTCCAATCTTCTATCGACTATGTCAACAGCTTGTTTAGTCGAACGTTCAGCAAACCAATTATCGCCGAGCATTGCCAAGATTTCGTTCGTGTGAACAAGCTTTCCGGGCATAAATGCAAGTTTGCCTATCGGTACCTGAACAAAAAAAAATATATAAATATATAAGTAGGTAATTCGAGGAAAGGTTAAAAAAAAAACCTTCTCACCATGATTCTATATTCCGTCTCGTGAGATAAATCTTCCAAGGTTGTCTTCAAAGCATTATAATCCCTTTCATACTTTCTCCATGTTTTCAAAGTTTCGTAAGTAGTAAAGATAATTCGCTCGAGTTTCGCGTGATATAATTTTTTTGCTTCTGGAGATAATGTTTCTGACATTTTTATAGTATTAGAGGGTTAACGTTATCGTTAGATGGTCATACAGATCAGGGGATAAATTTTTTAGGCCACACCTAGTGATGCGAATGGCTCGGCTCGGCTCGGCTCACGACTAACACTAATCAGCCAGAGCCGATCTTTCGGCTCAGCAAGCAGAGCTGAGCCGTTGTTACTATCGTAATTTCGGGAGAGCGTCAGTAAGTGGCCGGAATTAGATCAGCGATAGTGAACGACGGTTGGATTA